AATTTGTCTCCGGCCATCGTCCGATGATTACACAGAATAATTTTTACTATCTTGTAGGGAGCGGAGATCTATTATAATTTTAGTTTCTAAAATATAACTTTAGTAAGCAAAATCATGTAGGCTTGTGAGGCTAGTTAATGATTATAAATTTTGATCTAAAATATAAGTAACTAAAATTGATTGTAGAATAAGCAATGTTACTATAAACTTATATGGCCTACTAATTTAAGCAATGATTTCAAATAAAATGAACAAGGTAGTCTTTTTATGGCCTCATATGTATAATGAAATAATATTTGACTAATTATCTCGTTCATAAAAATGTACTTAATATAATCAACAATAATGAATACATATAAATCCTTTGCATATTATTATATTTAGGTTCAACTTACTACCCTATTGATAGTTCTTGAAGTATATGAGACAATAAATACACGACTTTCTTACTGCTTCTTAAAGCAGCTTTCTAGTATATAAATTTTAATTTTTGTACTAAACAGTTGCTTCAAGAAGCAATAAAAAAGCCGGACAACTTTCTTATTGTTTTTTTTTTTTTTTCAGATCTCAACTGTAGTTTTTGTTTGGTCACTGCTTTCAATAAATTTTTGTGATAGGAAGTTGTTTTCTACAGCAAGCTTTAAAAAAAATTTGCTTTATTCTACATAATAATTTTACAATCACCTTTAAAAAAAAAGGGTAAAACTCCCAAATGAGCCTTTGAGATGCTTATAATTACATAAAATTATGAAAAATTAAATGCAAACATTACCCACACATTTTTTTCTTACAATGTTTGGTATCCAACCTTGCCTATATCCTTATATAGACCGCCTCTGTATATGATTCTACTATTTTAATCTTATTACATTAACATTTACTCCATCCTAGGATGGCCAAGACCCTTACAATCAATGCTCTTCCTTAATGAGCAAAAGCTACATGAAAAATTAATTTACAAAAAAGTTTACTGCTTGCTTACAAGTTATCTAAAACTTAATAAGAAACCAAGAAAAAAAATCAAATAAAATTTTTTGGTAATAAATAAATAAATAAATATATATATTAGAACAATCATGCAACGCAACTTAGGCTTCATTTTGGGCAACTTTAGACCAATATTTTTTTTCCTGTTTCAAAAGATTTTTGTACTAGAAAATATTTTCATAAAACAATAAAAAAATGATCCCAAACGAAGCCTTAATTGTTATACAACTTATTGCTTGCAAATGATCTTGCTCATATAGCTCACAGTTTGGGAAAAAAAATTCCAGCTCTGAAATAAATTTGAAATGAGAAGTATTAAAAAGAATGAGAATTTGAATAAATTTTCTCAAAATTTTCATAGTTCTTTATTCTACAAAACTTATCTAATCTATATAAATTAAATGTGTATTTCTCTTCAAAAACTTATTTTAAAAAAAAAAATTGAAAATTTTCACAGAAATTATTTGGAATGTTTGTCATGCTTAAAAGCAAATTTACGTATTATTTAAGGGTCTATTTAAGGAACAATTATTACGTCCTCTGACCGAACGTAGAGCTACATTCGGCCGCCAATAACATGTCGCCGCGTGCTCTTACACTTTACCGCGCGGCCCGACGACTTGACCCGGACCGGAACCCGGGAATGCTATGTTCACGTATTGAGAGGTATTACTCGGTATTTGCTCGGTATTGCTAGGTATTGCTTGACAATAACGAAAAATACTACTCTGTGAAGACCAATACCGAGCAATACCGAGTTTTCCTATGTATTGCTCGGTATTGGTTATTGCCAAGCAAAATCGACCAATACCTAGCAATACCGAGCAATACCTAGCAAAATCGAGAAATACCGAGCAATCCTGGGTCCATTCGGGGTCGGGCTGTCGGGGCGCGTGGTAAATAGTGAGAACGCGTGGTGTGATTCTACTGGCGGCTGAACATAGAGCTACGTCCTGTGACCGGACCAAATAAAAGTTCCTATTTAAGACCACTTTCGAATTGTTATGTTTTTCAAATCATAGCCATAATTTCTATTGCAGCTGTTATTTTTTTTGTTGCTTTAAAGAAAATTCGAAACTAATTTTTATAATATTACAAAAATACTATTTTTCCCATAACAATTTACACCATCTTTATAAAAGCTTCAGTCTTCTCACACAGAAGAAATTTTTCTATGTGGTCATTGAACCGTCCGGAGGCAAATCAGAATGCATCATGTCATCCGGTACACAGCCGTACACAACACCGATACACTGCAAAAAAGTGATGTAGAGCATCATGATTGACCTCCAAATGACGTCCGATGACCGCACAGAATAATTTCTCCTCACAAAGATCCTAAGCCAAGCTAAGAAATATATTGAAGGTCAAATTTAAATGGAATTTTATATTTTTATAGAATGCATGAATAGCTGGTTCAAAATAAATGGAATGGAATTAAATGCACTTTATTGGTTGCCATCTGAAGCTGGTAGCATTTTGACGAGAAAAGCATGCAATATTTAATGACTCATCTAATTTTGGAGAAAAAAATGGATAAGTGTAAAACCAATAAAAAGCCGCTCAAATGAATAGGAAATGTGTATGGAAAAAAAGAATTAAATTAACACTAATGAATTAAAGGAAATGAAATTAAATAACAATGAGTACCATAAAATGAAAATTGTGGGAATTACATAATGCAATTCTTTTAAATCTTTTTCTTATGGGCATTTTGGCCAATTAAGACTTCGTTTGGGATGACATTCGTACTGCTTCTTAAAATAAATTTTTCGTATAAAAATTAAAAATTTTGTACTAAAAAGTTACTTTAAAAAGCAGTAAAAAATACAACCCTAAATGAAGCCTAAGTCAAACTCACATACACATCACATACGTACTACTCGCAAAATCAATACAATTCAAAAAAAAATTAAAAAAAAAAAAACATACGTAAAACTCGAACTCATAAACTCTTAGTTGGCAGTTAAAGCTCCCAACCCACAGATCAAAGAGAATTGAGTATCCTTTTGAATCTAACTGATTATTTTCTAAATATTCAAAATAGTAAATACTTACAAGCTCTTAATAAATGATTTTTTTTAAAAAAATTTTAATAGGGATTATCATTATGTTGAGTATTATGTTTCTTACAATCATGTAGATAATAAGCTCCCCTCTTATCTAAATTGTCTCACTACTATTTTTACTAATATCGTAATTAAAGAAACTCCGTTAAGTATTGGCAAAGATAAAAATCCAGGGCCGAAAGAGTTCACCGTCAGAATCATATGATCGGACAATTTCAAAATTCATCGCTTGCTCCATCTTTCACTTTCAAATACCTTGGTCTCCGATTTCACTTCAATGATTATTTCTGTCCTTATTTCTATCCCAACTGCTGCTTCTGCATTTATCCTCATCCACTTATACAATACCAGCTTCAATCTTCATGGAAAGACTTAGATTTTCATGCTATTTATTAATTTTTCTTTTTGATTATTCTTGTTGTGGGCTAGAGCATATGCGGCGATAGAGTTATAATCCTATGTTTTAGCGTTGTACGTATATCTAGCTCATATACAGAGAACATAAGGTTTTTTTTACGTGGAAAACTATGGAAAGGAAAAAAACCACGGGATTTGACCCAGTTAAAAATGATTTCACTAGAACTCGAGTATATTATAGTGGGCTGACTCGTCCTAAAGGACAATCATATTACAAAAGCCAACATTATGGTTGAAATCTAGTAACAAACTGGGACGAAAGTCCAACGTCACTTGGTGGACTGGCAGAAGTCTGGTCCTGCTTAAAAATTCGGGTGTCGGTTGGTAGACTGATAATGGTTTGGCAGAACTTCAGCATCGGACGGTGGTCCAGCGGAAGTTCGACATTAGGTGGTGGTCCGACAAAACTCCTTGATGATGGTCTGGCAGAAGTTTGGACCTCAAGTAGTGGTCCGACAGAAGTCTGAGACTCAGGTGATGGTTTGACGGGAGTTCGGGCCTCAAGTGGTGGTCCGGCAGAAGCCCGGGCTTCAGGTGGCGGTTCAGCAGAACTCCATGTCTCAGGTGGTGGTTTGGCAAAACTCCGGTCCTCAGGTGGTGGTCCAGCAAAACTCCGGGTGGTGGTCGAGGAGGAGCTAAGGGGCATGAGCGATCTCCGATCTCTCTCTTGCTCTCTTACTTAGGCGGTGGTCGAGGGTCCCTTTTCAAGAGGAAGGAGGCGTTTGTTTATAGATTTCTAGGAGTGTCATAAACCATAATTATGAGAAAGATCAAGAGTAAATGGGGAGTGTTTTGGATGAACGGCTGATGTTGAATCTCTTGATCGTGGACCATTCATTAGACATTTGAAGATTTTAATTATGTTGGAATTTTGTGATATTGTGCTCGTTGGATTCATCTCGTCGAGCCGCTCGATTCGACTATAAGCATGTCACATTTGAAAACCGTTTAGTAATCCAAATTGTGATTCAAACCCTCCAATAGCACTTCGGGCCCTTGATTTGGGCTCATTTGGGCTCGAATTTAGTCGAATTTGATGTTGTTGAGTTTGTATTTCAGAGACGTTTAATTCGACTGTAAGTTTGCTGAAATCAGAAATTGAATGATCCCAATTTTTAATTTTGAAAGTTTCCAATTTGATTTTTTCTCGAGATTCATGTCCGATCAACATATATTTTTTGAGGAAGTATTAATTCTTATTAATTTCAATTAAATATAAAAAATGATCTCTTAAAATTTAAATACACTATATTTAAAAAATAGCTCTATATATATATATATATATATTTTGGGGAAAACTCTAAATATTAGCCACTTGCAATCAAATAATCCTAAGCAAAAGACGTCAAAAGCACCAATGGGCACGCTGCACGCACGCCAAACGCTCCGTCATTCCGTGACGACGTCACAAACCCTAACATCACCCTTACCAAAGCCTCACCGCCCCCTCCAAAAAATCTGGCCCACCGTTGCCTTTGCCGTTGACTACCCAAAAGACCGCCGTATGTCATCAGGCATAACTCCGTGACAGAAGCACCGACCAGAACGGCACAATCTAAACCAAATCGAAGGGTCAGTTACATTCGAACGGTCACTTCACATAATAGTCACGTTGCTTGAACCTCAAGCACAGTCCTTTTAGGAGCAAATTATTGGGTCAGGTGACCGAAGCCATCTCTCCGTTCGGTCGCCAATAAAAATGCGCCATCTGTCAGTCGTTTTTTTAATTTAATATTAACGCTTTATGTCTTGTCAGAGTTAGCGACCCGACCCGATAACGCCCCTTTTAGGGGGAATCAGGCCGCTACTTAATAAGCGCCTCCGTCGCCGCTCCTGGTCGTCGTCTTCCCTTCTTCTGCCTTCTTGCTTCTCTGTTTTACCGGCTTCCCGCCATGGATGATGAAGAAAGGTGGAGCTCTAATGAGGGAGTGAAGAAGGATCCCAGAACCATCGCGAGGAAGTAAGCTTGCCTTCTTACTATTCCCCTTTTCCTGGTTTGGGATTGGTTCTAGGTTTTACTGTTGCTCGCTGCTTCAAGTCTGATGAGCGGTTACTTCACCTCGTTTTCTCCTCAGGTACCAGTTGGATCTCTGTAAAAAGGCAATGGAGGAGAATGTGATAATCTATCTGGGGACTGGGTGTGGGAAGACGCATATCGCCGTACTCCTCATGTATGAGCTCGGCCATCTCATAAGGAAACCAAGCAGCAATATATGCGTCTTCCTGGCGCCCACCGTGCCTCTTGTTCGCCAGGTTCGATTTTATTATTTTTTATTGGCTTATTTGAAATTAGTGGAGTTTGATGTGCATTGCTTATTTGGATAACGACGCTATTTTGTTATGATTTACTCTTTATGGACCATTATAACATAGGATGGGATGAACATCCACTGTCACACAATTTTAAGTTATTGTGATTAATTACTTATTACTTATTAGCCATGAGAGGAGATTATGATGAGATTTCTGTCTTATTATGTTAAGATAATAAATTTTAAATATTTTTCTAATAATTTTTAATTATTATAATTTGTTTTTTCGTGCACTTCTAGAAAACATAGTTTTATCAGGCAGAGGAAAGTTTGTGCTGCTTGTGGTAAAGCATTCATCCAAGTTATGAAAATTTTTAATTGAAAATTGGGGTAGAGCATTCATCCAATTTATGAAATTGTTTACTTCAATGGTGGGTGAGAGCTTAGGAGAGCCAACGAAAAAATAGATTCATGGAAATAATGGACGTCATTGTTGATCCATATTGGGTTGATCTATGCAAGGGAATACGAGTGAGGTGGAACATATACGAGCAGTAGTTGAGATATCTGACATATAGAGGTACGACACTGCCATTTTGACTGATTCAGATTTGCTAGAAGCTTGTTCATGGAAGTTATCTTTGGTGGTTATGTTTGCAGTCTTATAGGTTGAAAGTCCCACTCTTAATTCCAAGGGAGGTGTCTTGGGAGCAAAAAAATTCTTATTCTATGTTGTCAAGGCTGCTTGTGTCAAATATAAATATGAGTACCCCTTGAAGCCATGGGCTGAAAACCTAGTATAAAGGCTTAGCCTTAAGTGAACAATGACCCAACACTTAGATAATTTTTGAGGCTGCCAAGGATCCAACTCTTAGAGGAGTACATTCTACTTGAGGATTTTTTGATCGTATATGTGCCTGCACCATTAGGTTGGACTAAGTTGAGATTCTTTCACCATTAGATCGCTTGCCAATTGTCATTGTCATGACAATGACAATACAAAGTCATGATTAAGTTCATTGGCCCAGTCAACTCAACATCTTGCTTGAAAAAAAGTACTCTGATAACTTTTGTTTCTTCTACAATGATCATGAGCTCAATACTGAACATTATATTCACTTGAAAGTCTTGCTTGAACATTTATTAGAGGAGGGAAACCTAAATTTATTCCTTTCCAAGCCATAACAAAATAGGTAAATGAGCCAATCATGGAGCAGTTCACCTGGGGGCAATACAACTTGCTGAAAATTTTCTCTCCATTCATGCTAAGGCCATAGTTTAAACATCCCATTGATCTAGCATACAGTGAGCCTAATCTACAGAGTTAAATCTTTCTTGAGTCTCCTCATGGTTTGCTACATTTACAAATGATAACCTAACCATCAATCATAATAACTTCAACAATGTTGTGGTTTTTAAGGCCATGATTAATAGGTTAAGGTGTGTAAAATTATCTTGAACTATGATGACTAACCGAACATCCTCTTCCTTCTCACGTTTGAGAATGGAGCATCGATCAAGAGAATTTGTGCTTCACGGAGAGCTCACTATTTCTCTAGGGAAGCAAAAAAATTCTTCAGGCAGTTTACTCTCATAATTATGAGGGAGTGAAAACCATATTATTCATCCATACAAGTTGACTTTATAGTTTGAAGGTACAATGCATTTTTTAATGAGTCCACTTCTAAATTGATTTCGTGCTATTATCTTCACATTTCACCTAGTGGTCAAGTTTTTGACTTGGCTCAGAACTATTGGTGGAATTTCACCATCCTCATCGGATTGAAATATTTTATAATCGAGTATGACATAATAAAATTTATCATAGAGAATAAAAATTTATTTCGTTATGAACTCAATAATAAAGCTTGCATTTTTTATATTTTACCAGAGATAATCCTTTCCTAATATTGATCGGATAGGGTTTATTTTATTTTAGGGTATATGTGATGAGGACATCCAGGAGATTTTGGCACGTCTATCAGAGGAGATATTGTAGATCGACAGCTACGATTAAGAGTCTTTATTTTTGATGCATTTATGTATTTTTTATTTCATGTTCTGGTTTTACCATTGTACCCCTGAGAGGGATTAGTTAGTGTTGTGGCCCAGAGGGCAATTTAGTCTTTGTGTTTTTTTGTTCCTTGAGGCCTATATATGAAGGCCCTAGCTTTGTATTAGGGATGATGATTGTTTAATGAAAATTTCAGCACTTTTTATTTCTCTTTGTTGTGAGTTATTGAGAGAAGAAAACCCTAAGAGAGGGCCAAGCAATTTCCATCAGTTGCTGGTAGAGTTCGGGCTCACGGTTTGTATCCGTTTTTATTTTTTTCTTTTTTTCCTTCAACCCCATACCGCCGGCCACCCACACCCTCCTCTTAAATTCTAGCCACACCTCTCCCTCCACCCATACCCGCCGACCTCCTTCCCTCTCCACCTCAAGCCACCACCCCCCTCTCCTAGCCTCTCCGCCCTCCCATTCCCCCACCGAATCCAAGTCCAGCCCCTCCCCAAGTCGCTGGCCTACCTAGCCCAAGAGCAAGCCACTGGCCCCTCCTCCACAAGCCCTTGTTTTAAAATTCAAATTGCCTCTTAAATACCTTCCTAATTTATCCTATTATTAATTTGGAAAGTCTTTTAATTTGAATTCAAATTAAATTTTAAATTCAAAATCTTTCCTAATTAATAAATCTATTTTAAGAAGCCGCCCTAATCGCTCCCAATCTTAAATTAATTGGGATTTAATTCCAAATCCCACATTCATTGCATGTAGACACATTTGTTGAATGTGGACACCCTTCCCCTCTCTCCTTTGCCTACCCCCTACCCCTCTCTCTCTTAATTAATTCATCCCATTAATGCTCTCAATCAAAGCCCCTCACATCTAGGTATCCGCCCCACCTTAGTCCCATTAGAGGAAATTCAAATTTTGAATTATTCCCTCCTTCCCTCCTTGAAATCTGAAATTAAATTTCAGATTTCAAATTATTTTCCCTTCACTAAATTAAACCTAAAATCTAAAATTAAAGTGGCCCTTCCCCTAGCCTTGGCCGACCACCCCAAACCTCTCCCTCCATCTCTCGTTCTCTTCTCCCTTGCTTCATACATCATCCAAGGAAGAATAAGCACCACTCCGGCTTAAGTCCACATGAATGGCCGATCCTGAACAAGACCATGGGTTCGTATACGATCATCAAAGATGAGCAGATGTGTTGAGATCGCCCTTCTTCAACCTCAACTTGGAGATCAATCACACCGTCGATGACTACGTTAATCGGATCCTCTTCACTTTGACGACAACCATCAACGAGCATCAAACCTCCGGACAGTGGCAAGTTCTTCAACATCCATCGACTTCTTCCCCTCCAGGAAAGTTTTCGTTGGGCAATACTGCATGCGTCTTATGTCTTTTAGTGGCGTCATTAAGTTTGTTGAAATTAATCTTCTGCTAAAACAACCCTCATGAGTGAGAGTGAGGGGAACTCAAGTGCACTCTCTATTTTGTTAATCGGTGAATTTCTGTTACTTGTGCATCTAGCTTTATTATTATTTTGTTGTTATTTTAAATTGTCCTTCTAACCTAGTTTGCAATTGCATACCAACACAAAACAACAACTAAGAAATCCTATAATCTAATTTTTTTTAAATCCTATAATCTAATATTGTGAAACATTAATTTTAAAATTAGTAAGCTTAACAATTTTTATTAAATTCCTGCAATTCCTTTTATGTTTCCCATATGTATTAGTCTCTATAGTTAATTACATCTCAAGAATTTATTTTGTGAGAAATTTTTGGATTAAATTAGTGGTGTATATTTTCAGCAAAATATTGACTAATATTTATGTAAATCTTGCAAAATTCTTATTAAAGATTTAGTCCTTCAAAATTTTAAGGGAGATTGGATCAACTTAAAATTAATCTTTTTTAAATGAAGCAAAGGGAGAAAATTAAAGGAATACTTAATTTTGAGAAACTCAGGGATACTCAAACTATCATGCATTGAGTTTTACATTTTAAAAGTGGAAGGTTAGGGCTTACATTCCCACAACACAAGTTGAAGAAAAGATATGGGAAAGTGAGGGCTTACAGCATGACTGAAAAGAACATCGGCCTCGAATCTTAGATCGAAGGTGAGAACCATTGATAGTCAGTAATTCCAACTTAAATCTAGTGAAATGTTAGGGATTTATGAACTTGAAACCCCACCTTAAGTTAAATCATTATAGCTTTGGATTTATAATTTTGTTTGGAAAGGACGACCAACTAATCCATCTAAGTACTTTTAAAATCATACATATTTGATCTTAATACATATACATGATATGTAATATTATTTTGATTTTAACTTTTAAGAGATATGACTTACAACTTGGCCACTTAAACCAAGATGCTTGATTATGCCGGTATGTAAATGTTGACTCACAGTGCAATTTTTATAAGTCCTATTGCCTAAGTACTTTTAAAGTCATGCATGCCTGATCTCAATGCATATATAAGATATGCAAAATCATTTAATTTTAGGAGATAAGACTTACAACTTAGTCATTTAAGCTAAGATGCTTGAGTATGTGGATATGCAAATACTGACTCATAATATAATTTTGTTATCTGGTCATTAATATGAGAGCCTTTTATCTACATTCGACTCACTAGATTATGTGATGTAGAACTACGTATGGATGCAATGATTTTGTAAGATTTTGCACAACTGTTGATTAGAACAATAAGTCAATAACAAAGAAAACTACTAGCAATTAAAATAACAGATTAAAACGTAAGAGGGGTCACGCCCGCTTAGGCTAAGTCACATATCAAGAGATTTGAAACTTCAAAATAAATTAGAAAATAACATCATGCCAGGATAGTAGTTTCAACAAAATCCCTAGTCTAACAAGGAGATTAGTAAACACATGAGTACACTCAAAATCCTACGTTTACTAAGCTTAACAGAAACAGGCGACGGTCGTCCTTCGTGACTACAATCAAACCACAAGAAAA